CCCAAACCTCAAATATTGTTGTGTGTGTGTTTGTTTAGTCTATCTCTGGAGGCTCACTCAGAAACAAGAGGAAAGCAAAGTGAACAACTATAAATCCAACAACTAGCCTAGGAACGAAGTTTCATTAAATCTTGACCTGGCTGTTTACAATTAGCTCTGCCCGGACGGAACTCCCTTGGCAGCCTCCGCCCATAAGAAACGAGATGTTCTTGCCCACGATACGGAAGCATGGGAATGTAAGAGTTCCCTGGGCAGGGTCCCCTTGAATTTGGCCTGCCGGGTCATACGGGGAGGGACACTTCGGTACCTCCTATCCACCAGTCCGCCTGTTGTTTGGCGACCTCTCTGCCACGCGCTGTTGGATTATCACCAAAAGTAGGCTGGTTATCAACGCTATACCAGTCTTTTTCCATCCTCCGATACCGTCTTCGAAATCGAAGCTGCAGGCTGCGTGAAAAAGAAAAGAACAGTAAGAACCTCTACAACATTAAACGTTCCCCTCTAAATACTATAACAAATCGCCGCGATTTTCCAAGAACTGATGTGAACCTTTTACGAAGCTAATCAGAGAGGGCATCATCAACAGTTAAAGCAGAAAACTCTACCCTCACAGTAAAGCCAATTTGTTGTCACAGAACTAAGTCATTTCAGCTTGCCAGTAATTAAACTAAACCACTGATTCAGATTCCCTATCGCCTGCGGTCTATCTTTTTAGCAACGTTGCAGAACAAGAAGCTTTTCATATCCTAGTATAATTATCGGATAATGTTCGATCAATTCCGGTTATTATCTGACTGGAAGACTCTATGACGTCATGTAACGACAATGACGTCATGACCATCAACAGCCATCTTAGGCCTAGGGCAAACGTCGAATCCAAGTCGCGTCGAATAAATTAAAAATAGGTGCGACAAAGATTCGACTTAATTCCAGCGTGGTAGCAAAAGTCGAACCTGCGTCGATCCTATGTCACAAGTTGCACTTCATTAAAACACGGGAATAAGCGCGTGTCCCCGCGCTATTCACTCGATGCGCGACTAGTTGCTGCCAGGACTTGCTAGCGNGCTGGCGTTTCGCAGATGGAGGAGTATGTATTTTTGTGACGTTTGCCCAGTCCATCGCATTTGAATCAATTATTGTGTAATTTGCATGATTTATGAATTGAGTTCAGCGCGTGTTTAGAGCGGCGTTTGCTGAAACGCCGAACCACTGTCGCATTATCCGACTTGGAAAGTGGAACCTATGCTAGGGTCGAACCGATTAATTTGAGTCGAATTTAATTGCAGCAAACGTCGCACCATTCATGCGCCTATTTCAAAATTAATAGGTTCGACTAAGATTCGACGTTTACCCTAGGCCTTATAGAGCAAACCGACGGATATCTATTCAACTCAAAATAATTCGCAGGGTTCAATCCAGCCTCCCTTATTCTACCACGGAGGAGGTGTGATTTTGGGTATAATTCGGATCTGAGGGTTGAGAAAGGATGATTTTTCTTGGTTATTAAGTCATATGATTCCAATTGACGTCATTAAGTGTACCATCTTGAATCTATCATTTTGGATTTCACCATTTTTTCAAGAAGTCAGAAAACAACTTACATCGATGGAAAATAACTCTAAAATGGAAATTCAAATCTGCAATGATGCTCAAGAAATATGATTACAACGAGGAATCATGTGAAAAAATGGTTGCTACGTGTAAAAAGCAGTTGACACGTCAAAATTTCTGCGAGGGATGAATGAACAGCTGCTGAAACAGAGCAAATTATAAATCCTCTTATTATATAACTAGCTCCGTGAGCGGGCAAGATGAACAAAATCCTGCGTTGAGACTGGCTACCCGAGTGCAAGAGCAAGATGGCGCTATCTTGCCCGCTTGAGATTACCCGCTATGTCTGCAGCCTGTTTATGAGCCTCAACTCCGTCTCGGTCCATAAACACGCGAAAAAAGGACTTGGCCAATATCCAGCCATCTTGATCTCAGGCTTGGTGAATAAACCACTTAATCAGAATTCTGAAAAAAAAAACCTTCGAAGAGGAAGAGCATCCTGTCCCCTCCCCCTCCCCCCACCCCCTTTGTACGCCCGAGGATTGCATAACTTTCTTTACTGTTTATTTATTTATTTATTTATTTATTTATTTAATTAATTATTTATTTATTTATTTATTTATTTACCTTTCCTGCAAAAAGGTCCCATGAATCCTAGTGGACATTTACAACGAAATCCTCTCTCGATGTATCCCAGTTGACAAATGCCATTGTTGAAACATGGGTTGCTGATGCAAGGATTCTGGACAAAAATAAAATGATAAACATGACCCGTAAACTAGCGTTACTCTCTGCCTTTAGGTGTTTAGGGCGCTGTCCAATCGAGTCGACTACTAGCATCGATTGAATTTTTCATGTACCGTCGGCGGCAGTCTTTAGGTTGGCATTTATAGGATACTTAGCCCTGGAATGCAGCCCCCGCCCTTCGCCAAACCGGACGGAAGGGACGAGAGGGCTCACATACAGGCAAGACCAAGATGCCAGTAAATAATTGCACAACACAACAAGATATAAGGAATTAAAGGCAACCTAGCCCAAACGAGACGCTCGCCTTTCTTTGATTGC